CTGTAACAGCATGCTTAATCGTAAATTTCCTGTTACAATGTCAACAGGGGGACGTCTCAAAATGGTAAAATATCACTAATTTGCATTATTTTTTTCATGAAAACTGAGTTCAAAGTGCTGCAAATTCTTAATGGATTGAGATAAAGTAAAAGGCTTTTCAGCGTTGGTTAGAAGTTACCCTAAGATCGACCTGAGGTCATTTTTAGCCTGTCACATGTCCAAAATTTTCTTTGCAATGAGGGGGACTGCCTCCCCTTTAAACTCCTCAAACAGAAGGGGAGACATCCCCTTTCTGGCAACCCCTTGATGTTCCATTTTAATGAGGGCAGCACCGAAAAAGTGATCACTTTTTTAACAACATTTCTCATTAGAAAAACAGTGTTTGGGTCCTAATAAGGGCATTTGTTTCACTATTTGAGGCCTTGAAAGGGGGAGGATGCCGTCAAAACACGTCTATATGAGGTAAAAGGTTAACTGGCTATGAAGTTGCATATCTCTGTTATCTATGACCAACGGTGAAAATTATTAAACATTCTCTCTGATACTATTATTTTCAAAACCGTACAGGTTTACTTCTCACAAAACTGAAAAAATATCACAAATAGATTTATTTAAAATGTGTACGTATTTGTAAATAGAAATATTGTCATGAATTGCTAAACATAAGATATATATATACAACTCACAGATATTGATCTAAATAGAAAATGCCAATTTCCAATTTTTTAATTATTTTAGTCCACACCTCTTTTCTAAATGCCTACACAACCAGCACACAGCCAGCAACCCCTCAGATGGTAGAAACAATCAAACAAGGCTTGCAAGAGTTTTAATTTTGCCATTTTCAGCTTTCTTTAGTGATTCATTTTTTCTTGGTATTAAATAAGCATCTGATTCGTTGTCTGTGACAAAATAGATGAGCACTAATTTTTTTGTGAACTTGTACTTAACCAAAACAAATCATTCTAAATTAATGAATGGATTATTGGATCGGTGACTATGAGAATAATGTGACAAAAAAGAGTTACCGAACCTGGTCTTCCAGATAAAATATACTTTATTGGCAGACAAAGTGCCAAATTCTTCTTGGTCATTGGGTCCATATAGAAAATGAAGACGAAAATTTCTTCCTCAGAAATCATCTTCGTACCTTAAAAGGTTGGTTAATTCTTGTTTTGTATCCTTTGATTTGTTTTTTTTTGATACATTCTTTCAGTCTTGATAACGTCACATTTATTTATCATTAACAATTTCTTAAATTGCCATGGAATTAAATGGTCATATGATTTTGGATATAAAAGTCTACAATGATAACTATTGAAATAATAATTTCAATAATTGAGGTGAACTTGTTCTTGACCTAGTTTTGGGGGCGAAAATTTGAGTATTAATTCATGCAAATAAGTACAAGTGTATCCCGATCTGTAGATAAGTAAATGAAGGACACACTATATAGAGCAAAATCAAAGTCAGTTTAACATATAAAAATAAACCTTTCATCCATTATAAAAGGGATTATCAATGAAAAAATAAAAGAACTTTGAACAAATTTAAAGTAAAAGAATCGTCATGAGCGACTGAAACAGCGTTTTCCAATCGGCGTCGGTTAACATTTTGTTACATATATCTGTTGTTCAAAGAACGCAAATATTACATCGGGTCAGCTTGAACTGCTGTTTTACGTCTGCTCATTTTCTTGCCTTTTTTAAATCCATTTGAATCTTGATTCTGAAACAGAAGGCGTCTTTAAAGGGATTAACGACAGCTCTACGGCGTTTTTTACATACTGGTGACCAATACAACCTGATAAAACCGCTAATCACTTTTTAAATGGAATGACCGAAACTGTGGAAATACCATGAGATCTATTTGTGAAAATAAACAATAAAAAAAGTTTATTTCACTTAATCATAATGTATCATACTATCTTTTGTAGAGAATTCGTAAATGAACTACCAATGAAAATATATTATTTCATTGGAATTTTATAAAATGAAAAGCAGTTAGTTGTTGAAAAGGAAAACGTATTTCAATGTTGTTTTTTGTTTGTTTTTCTTTTGCGTCTTTCCTGGATTTTACAGGTGGAGGAAGACCCTTTTGTGCAGTATTCCAGGCACGAACGGACACGTGAGTAGAACCGTTGACGTAAACAAGCTTGGTAGCTTCCTTATTTAAGAGGAAACAGTCCATGTGAAACCATTGTGTGTGGAGCTACCGTCCTGCGAGTAGAGTTATCTTTCAGAATAGAAACCGTCATTCATACCCTTTTGCAAAAAACAAAAAAAAAAATCAAACAAAACAAACAAAAAAACAACAACAAAAAAAAAAAAAAAAAAAAAAAAAAAAAAAAAACATAAAGACGAACCAGAAAACCAACAACAAAAAAAACTTACAAAATCAAACAAACAAAAAATTACAGCTTCACTTTCAACAAAAAGACGATTGGCATCCGAATAGGACTAATAATTATGACATAAAGTCGGGTTATGATTGTCTATTTGTGTTATTTCCTTTTTATATCTATTTATTATTGAACTAGCTTTCTCAGGAAATCCGAATTCTAAAGAAGGCCAAACATATACGGTCGTAATTAGATCTACATAACAGAAATAGGTAGATCTGAGATTGAGTCATATTGGGCCCAGAATTTTAACTGCAATCAAAATCAAAACAGACACATGTTTTGAAATTATTCACTGGCCTATAGCCTCAAAATGAAAATGCAATAAGTTTCTTATAGGTACATGTAAACTTTATCTTTTTTAAAAATACAATTTGCATTGAAATTTGCATTACTCTAATCATAAGTTAGTCGATTATTCAAAATGAACTTTCTTTTAATTATGTTTTAATATTTCACACGCGTACTTGATTATCAAATATCTTATAAATCAATGACATCTGCATACATTTTGCTAAAAAAGTGCTTGATTGTTTTATACCAATTTATCGATTGTGATTAACTTTCATTGAGTTTGAATATTAAATAAATGATATGAATATCATCAAGAAACCTTTTTATTTACAAAAATCACGCTTTTGGGAACTACATTTTTGTTACAAAATTCAAAAGGGTTGTTTATTTTGTTCATTTATACTTGTCTCGCAAAAGTTAGAAATGGATTTTAACAGTACATAGGATCGTGATTTAGGTTTCATATGTATGTCACAGAGTGAGAAAATGTATAGCCTAAATAGGCAAATTTGTCAGGGTTACAGGGCAATATGAGCTGCTGACTATCGTCAGAAAGATTAGTTTCCTTACTTGCCAAGATAAACAGTTAGATTTTTGACTTCATCCATTGTTTGACATGACTGTGCGGAATATTTTATTTTAAAATGTGTCTTTTTTAAAATGTTAAAAACGTTTGGATCAGAAATAATGATAACATTTGGTTAATAATAAAACCTTGTTTATACACTGTTGTTTAAAGGCCTGATTGTAATGTGTGATATGATAGTGTTGTTGCGTGTAAAAGAACATAAAGATAAGCTGGGATTATACAATACCATCTGTAAAGATCAAAATAAGTTCCCTCTTCCTTTTTAATGTTTAAAGTGTGAATAAAGAGATGTTTAACAACTGAAAAAATAGCACAATTACCAAAAAAAAAAAAAAAAAAAAAAAAATAAAAAAAATGGCAAATGATTTTCTTTTATTTTGGAAAAAGTAACAAGATACAAGAAATAAAAATATTTTGATGAAAATGATATTATTTTTGTCTGAGGTATATTGGGCCTTTAAGGTATATATCATAGCTAGTTTCTCCAATAATTATCGCACTAGTCACAAGTTTACATACTTAAAACAATCATTTTACAACTTTGTAGTTCATGCATAGCTTGTTATTACATATTTTATACCATTGACATATTTTTCCAAATTTTCCAATGTGTGATACATTTTCTTTCTTGCTGGCCAATAATCGACTGAATTTCTTACAATGCTAATTCACGGACTCGTTTTGCACAATTAAACATACATCTAATATCGTCTTCCAAATTTGCATAGACAGATACGAAAATTGTCACACACTGACAACTTACAACATTATGTCCGGATAAAGGATCTTTAAGTTTTTGCATTTTTGATGATTTTACCAAAATGTGATCTTGAGGCCTACGCGTCCGTTTGAAATTTCAAAAGTTCATTTGCTTTAGATTTGCCACTTGCTTTATCATTTAAGGCACACTTATTCTTAAAATTGGGTACCATACACTCCTTTCATGGAATTGCACGAATATATCACATTAAAAATTTAAGACTTCACGACAACCGCCGTATGAACACATCGGCGCATGTTTTTAATTTTCATATTTAAATGTTGGGTTCTGCTTATGTCGGTGCCAGAGGGGGGGGGGCGTGAACGGTAGCATGCACATTCCAATACCGCCCATGAACAGGCTCAATCAAACCATGCCTGCAACATTTTAAATTCAAACTTTTTGCGGGAACCGTAAGGATTTGCTTTCTATTTTTTTAACGAATAAGTTCTGAATGTACGCATGTACATGAATTTGAAACACTACACAATTTTAAATTGTGCACATGTTTGGAAAGAAAAACAACAACACCAACAAAACCACAAAAAACCTAAAACAACACCATTACCCACATATATACATGTATATATTTAAAAAAAAATAAGATAGAAAATAAACAAAAACCTTTTTTATTTGTTAAATCAAACTACAAGGATTGGTTTTGAGTCATAACCAGTATTTCTGATCATAATTTATTTTATTAAAAATGAATTTTAAGTTGGTTCAAGCCTCAAACAGAGGACAACAACTCTAGACATTGAACATAACATAAAATGTCAATTTCTAAAATAAGTTTAGTTGAAAAACATTGAAGTCTCCACCTCTTTTGACCTAAAACTTCGACTGACAAATCGAATCATAAATATCGCTATCAAGGCGTTTTTGTTGAGAACGTCACGTGATTGAAACATATATTATATTTCCTTATTTAAATCAATCCAAAGGATTTGCTTCAGACAAAGCACTTAAGTTCACAAAGTATGAGAGGGATTTTAGTCGTCGTTTTTGCGTTGCACCTTTTTCGTTGTGTTGCGGCACAGGAATGTTCAAAGTATCACTATGAGGAGCAAATCTTAGCAAAAGTAGTTCGTCTTGAACACAGACTTGAAATACTGGAGGGAAAAGACAACAGAGAAGGTAAATTAATCACATTAGAAAATGTAAACTTTAAAGGTAATTAAGTTCTTAACCGGTTATATTTTTTTTAAGTCACGGTTACGATAATTTGTATTTTTCATTTGTATCTCGGGCTTGATATAACGGAACAAGTAACTTGATAAGCGGTCTTATGTTATTTCTAAATGTCTAGTGTTCGATCAGTAAGCGTAATATTTGATTGAAATAATAATACTGTTATCATAAAAATCACATTAATATTGTAAAACAGTCATGTTAAGACCATTAAAATATAACGGGATACAAATTTCACGCCAGTTGTCTCATATTGTATTCACATCAATTACTTAGGATAAAACAAGGTAATTTCAAAATTAACAAAATGGTACCGCGTGAGCCTGATTGGACGATAAGGTAGCACAATGCTAGTTGCCCTTCTCTTTATTGTGCGGGTGTTACATATTACTTTTATCAGTCGGTAATATCATATACGTATGATCTTGTCTTACGTCCCTTGCCTTTATAATCATTCTAACACACAATAAAAATTTAGGATTAAGAATGATAGTGTTGTCTCATGAACGTTACGTACATTAAAAAATAACAAGAAACCATACAAGCCCCTTGAAATAAAAATATTAATATGGAACTGTTTTTTTGTGAATTTCGTAATATTCCAGATGAAAAACATGAAATTTAATATACATTTTGTATTCGTGTTGGAAAGTATTTAAAATAATACAATTTTGATAAATTCATTTTACGTTCCCTTTTTATTGTTCTTCAATTACGGTTGTTATGTTAGTTAAACAGTTTAAGACCATGTATTTCTTGCTATATAATGCATCTATGTGGAAACGATTAACAGTGAATTGACAATATTTTTCTTACCTGTTTAAAATACAATACACCGATGTATTTTTCTTTAAAATGTAAATATGAAAAAAGAGCACATTCTGGAAATTTTCATGATTGTCAAACACAAATTGAAAATAGTTCAGAAGCCTGTTTATTTATGGATGACGGTGACCAGACAATCCCTAGCACCGGCTCATTTATTTTGTAAATTGTGATAATGTTTGAATAAAGAAAAGTAAATTAAGATTTACTCGTTCTAAAAAATATGATTTTATCTACATGTAGTATGTAAAATCTTTATGATCCTATAAATGATAACTGTATCAAACTTTATATATTTTCTGTTCTGAAGACAAAGGGTGTAAAGACTGTGTACAATGTCCAGATGGATGGATGCAATACAAAGGGTCATGCTACGTGTTTGTAGACAAGAAACTTTCATTTGATAACGCGCGGGTAAGTTTGATGTGAATTTTTCATCATTTGAAATTTTCATCATTTGATTTTTTCTTACTTTTTTCTAGTATAAAATTTATCATTTTTAATAAATATTTACCGGGCTTGCGGCGTATGATAAATATACATGTCTTTTACTGTTAAGAGTAATATTGTTTTTAAAATCGATGAGGGCCAAAATTTAAGTTAAAAAAGAAACAAAAATGTTGCATAATTCAACAGGAGCTCTAGAATACTGAATAAAACTGAAATCAATATCAAATTTTATTCTCTGCCCAATTTCAATTCAAAAGGGTCGTTATAGTACGATAACACGGATTTTTTACGACAAATAAAATGATGAAATGATCTGAAATTTTGTTTATAGTATAAAAAGTCGATAAATAGTTCCAGAAAATAACGAATCTTTTATTTCCAGGCTAATTGTAAAACGCTTAACGCTGATTTGGTCCATATCGAAAACGCAGACGAGAACACATTCATTGGAAACCATGGAAGATCATTTAAAGGTAGTTCTGTATTTATTGAATAGCTATATTATTGCGATAATTTAGTCATATAAATATATATTATCATACCCCTACTAGACATATTTTGTGTTGGGTTTGTTGATGTTATTTTGTATCTATAGTAATCATTTTGTCCTGTCCCGCCCGTTCCATCTCATGATCTGGTAAAGGTATTAACTTGAAACTTAGAAAAAAATCCAATATCACAATGAAATTGTGTATGTCAAGTTCCAGAACATAATTATGCCCCTTTTTAACTTGAAAACTCTTAAAAAATGTATGTAAGTGACCATAGCTTTATAAGAATTGAATGAATTGTCTTCATTCTTGGACATTACAATCCTTCAAGTTGACCAGACTTACCTTGATATTGAGTAATAAGTGACATTGACCTTGAAGGTGTATTTGTTATCAACATTTTTTTCTATGATTGGCTTAACTTTGTTAGTATATTGAAATTATTCAAACTTGGATAAACATGAAATATCAATGCAAACTAACAATGCTTTTGTGTGTGTGTGTGTGTGCGCGCGCGCGCGCGTGTGCGTGCGTGCGTGCGTGTGTGTGTGTGTGTGTGTGTGTCAAGTTTAATAAATCTGAGTTGACATAATTTATTCCCTTTCCATCTTTTTTTCATATAATTGAGGTGACAGGCGAGGGTATGAATCATCTTAAGTATTAGATCTAGTATTGTTTGATAGAGAAAGATGTTCAATAAATTTGAAAGATACAAAAGTGTGATCGACGATAAGCATACACTTAGAGTCAAGTCGTACTAACAAATACCTGGTTATCATTTATCAACACATTAGCCAGATCTTAGTTATCAAAACCTAGCCTGCTGGCAACAACAGGTTCCATAACCATATGGACAGTGCAGACCAAAAGAATAACGGTACATAAATGCCGTTTGACCCCGGTCTGCTTTTTCGCGGCATATGCCCTCGTAAGAAAGGTGTCATATGCATTTTGTTGTTTGCCTCGATATATAGGAAGTGAAAAATACAAAATGTATTCTTTACATAGTATATTTTTCATAAGTTAAAATGGTTATAATAGCGCATGCTAAGCGAACACTGATTCCCAACTTTCAGTTTGTTAAGATTCTTAAATTCTTAGATTATTAATATACACTATTTCCTAACATTCGGGAAACTGTCATAAGCCGTTTGCTATTTGCGACAATAAAGAACGGACAAAAACTTGGCATTTTTCAAAATTGTGAGGAAATACTTAACATGTGTCAAAAATTGTTAA